TCGGGGGGCGCTGGCCCCCCCCCCCCCCCCCCGCCAGGGCCCCCCCGGGCCCCGGTCCCCAAGTGTCCCCAGCCTCCCCGGGGGGGGGACACACACACAGAGGGGACCCTGGGGACTTCCCAGGGGACCGGGTGGCCCTGGGGGGCACTGGGGGGACCCCCGGGGCTCGGGGGGGTCCCAAGGGTGCGGGCGGAGGGTGACACCTGGTGGCACCGCGTGGCGTGGCACCGAGCTCCCTGGTGGGGGGACACGGCGTCCCCAGGCGAGTGCCTGCGCCCCCGGGGACGTGACTGTGTCCTCAGAGCGCCGACCGCGTCCCTGAGGGGTGACAGCGTCCCCAGGGGGGTGTCTGTGTCCCCGGGGGGGTGACAGTGTCCCCAGGGAGTGCGTGACGGTGTCCCCGAGGGGGTGTCCGTGTCCCCAGGGAGTGCGTGACGGTGTCCCCGGGGGGGGGGGGGACAAACAGGCAGAGCCGGGTGACAGTGCTCCATTTTATTTACAGGCTCTCGGGGCGGGGGTGACCGTCCCCATCCCCGTGGGGGTCCAGGCACTGGCACGGGGGGGCGCGGGGTCCCACCCCCCGCAAGAGCAAAGACGTACAAATAAATACAACCAGAGGAAAAACATCGGCTGGTAAATCGTGTCCCAGTACCTCCCAGTACCTCCCAGCAGCCCTGCGAGAGGGCTGGCTCTGCACCCAGGCGTTGGGTGTCCCTGCAGCGGGACAGGCCCCTCGAAGGGGACAGGGAGGGGACACCGTGTGCCCCCCCAAAATCCCTGTGTCCCCTCCAGTATCCCCCGGCCGGGGCTGGGGGTGCCCCAGTGTCCCCGGCACCGCGGGGGGGGAGCCACGGCGGCACGTCCCCGGGGTCCCCGGTGTCACAGCGTGAAGATCTCGTCCTCGGCGTCACGGAGGGCGGCCGCCCGCGGGGTCCTGGTGAGGGGCCGGGGGCCCAGGCGGGGGCCCCAGGGGGCTGCCCCAGGGGGCTGGCGGGGCCCTGGCATCGGGGCTCCGGGTGCCTTCGGCCTCGGCCGTGCTGCAGGGGACGCAGCGGGGTGGCACTGAGGGGTGGCCCTGCCACCCGCCCACCCCCCCTGCAG